AAGACAGCCCCCGCCACAGTTTTTCTCAGTTACCAATAAGTTAACGCAATACCCAGCCAGTTGTTTCTATGAAAAATTACCATTTACTCATTTAAAAGTCCTCAGCTGGTAAAGTGCAGCACAATTTCCCACAATGTGTTTGGGTTATCTCTCTTCTCCAGATCACACATTACTATCTGATGCTATATATGAGGAAATAGAAGACACCACAGAAAAGCAAGGTAAATCCCATGCCTCAACAAAACCACATTTCTGTCTTTTCTGAACAAACTGTCCAAGACCATTTCCAATTCCATATTACACAGAGGCTCAACCCAGAGTGTTTATTTTTTAAGAAACAGTGTCCTTATTTACTGATTTGTGTGTCTGCAGGTTCTCAAGCACAGGCTTCTGTTCACTCTGTTATTCAGTTAGAAAACTTAGACAAAGGTAAGTTTGTTTTGATCAATACTTTATTATAATGGGTTGTTATAAAGGGATGGATTTTGTCTATGCTGATGAACCATCAACAGTTGAAGAAACTTGTTGCTCAGATTAATATATTGATATTAATTTATTATTACACCAGTGGTTCTTTTTTTTGTAACCCACAAATTGTAATTACAGGTCCATCTATGTAAAGGACACTTCTCTGCATTCTGTCTTGACTGATGTAAAGGAATGTTTCTTCTTGTGCATTAAGTACGTGTTATGAGGGGGTGAAAGTTGACCAGGAAGTTCATTTTCTGCAAGCATTTCATGGTTTCGCAGAAACAGCTATGAAAACTGTGGAGACAATTATTATTTGGAATGCCCATTTTTTTCTTCCCCATTTTTCTCCAAATTTGGAATTCCCAGTTACGGTATGTGCTTAGACACAGATATGAGTCAGAGGAAGACATTTCATGTGCAACTGTACACAGACAGGCCTGTGGCCACCCCCCTTGACCAGAAGAGGAACACATTTACATTTATTCATTTAGCAGACGCTTTTATCCAAAGCGACATACAGAAGTGCAAATAGTGGGCAAACAGCAGGCACAAGAGCAAGATGTGTACAGATAATACAATGCAGATAGTGCTGAAGCTGAGCACAAGGTCAGTGTAGCAAGACAGAGCTAATCTGATCTGAGGTTACATACATCAAATACAGTCACTGGGACAATAAAGTGCTGCTATACTACCTAGACAAAGGCATGCTACAAATACAACGTGTTACAAAATACAATCATAAGAGATAGTGCTACAAGTACGAGCCAAGAATCTTAGAGTTTACAAGGTCAGATGGCAATGGTGTCAGTCCAGGTATAGTCTGAAGAGGTGTGTCTTCAGCCCACGTCTGAAAGTGTCATGGCGATCATGGCGATCTTGGCGATCTTGGCGATCATGGCGATCTTGGCGATGAGCAGCTGGTGATTGACGGTGTCAAATGCAGTGGAGAGGTCGAGGAGGATTAGGACTGAGGACAGGCTGGAGGCCTAGGTGTGTGGAGGGCCTCTGTCACCGCCAGGAGTGCCGTTTCAGTTGAGTGCCCGGCTCTGAACCCAGACTGGTGGGAATCCAGGAGGTTGTACTTGTGGAGAAAGGGAGACAGTTGGTTAAGTACAGCACGTTCAAGGGATTTGGATACAAAAGACAGGAGGGATACTGGACGATAATTGTTGATGTCAGATGGGTCAGAGGTAGGTTTTTTTTAGCAGGGGGGTAACCAGAACATTTTTAAGATCTGTGGGAACAATGCCAGTAGTTAGAGATGAGTTGATGATGGGAGGAGAGATATGGGGCAATCTCACCGGATACAGACTGGAGAAGGGTGGAAGGAATGGGGTCGAGAGGGCAGGTTGTAGCTCGTGGGTTGTGATGAGCTGAAGAACTGAATCATTGAGTGTAGGGAAGGAGGACAGGTGGTGACTGGATGCCTTTCCGGTGGTTGAGGGAGTAGCTGATGAGCAATGAAGCAGACTAAGTCCCTGACTGACCTACCATCCCCTTTGTCCCCTGACGGAACAGAGCCAATTTGTTCTGCTGCTGTGGACTCCCGGTCATTGTAGGCTGATGATACTGCTAGGGTTGAACCTGGGCTTGACCTTTCTCTTTTGACTGCAAGTGTTTTTACCAATTGAACCACTCTGAGAGCCCTATTAACAGTTTTTTAAATGTTTTTGTTTTATGTATTCCTCAGTCAAAATATTGATGGGTACTAAGTGAACTCAGTCAATACATTTATGATGCAGGCCAGCCCTGGAGTTTATAAAGAAAAAGAATGATGTACATTGATAAAAAGCTTAATGCAGTTTGTAAAACTGATACCTGCTAAAAGAATCAAAACGTTAAGGGAAATGTTTCGGCAATGCTTACATTTTGGTAGCATGAATTACTTCAAGCCTGTGCTTCTTAGATTCTGCCTCCTCTGTATACATGCCTGCATGCACGCAGCTAGTGTAGCCTGGTAGCTGTCTGTTCAGTCTGACCATATGTGTTTTACTCTGAGCTCTTGGTTGTGAAAATAGGAAGTGGTTTGTAAATTAAGTGAATGATACATCTCGCTATCTCAGTTAACATCTTATAGACTGCATGAGAAACTTTTCAACGTTTTAAGTCTGTGAATTGCATTGGTGTTCTGTGTGTGATTTTACAGATGAGTGCTCTCTTGACTGAAAGATGATTGAGTGCATTAAAGTTGCAGACGGTTTACTAAAAAAATGTTTATTATTGCCCATTTAGATCAACAAGCTCACACTTATCTCAGTCACTCAAATTTAACAAAATATACCTCATTTTGTGATGTCAGCATTTTAAAACAATTGATATGGATCTTTTCATCTGTTATTTTAACTGCCCTGTATAAACGTTTCAGTGTTAATTGAGTGTACCCCTTGAGTCAATTGCCCTGTTGATACAATGTACTTGATACCAGTGTCTCCATCCTTTTGTGTGCTTTATTTGCTCCAACAGTGTGCTTGTGTTTTTTTGTTGATTGTTGCTAATAAACCTGTTCTATTTAAAATTAAAGGTGAGCTCCTGTGAAGATGAAAATGTTACTAATGTATACTTCCATCAAGAAAAAATGTTTCCATTTCTTTACATAACATGCTGAACTTGAGAAGCAGAGGTCTTACTTACTTGAGTTGAGACTTTTGCACAGAAACACGTATGGCAGAGATAAACATTGCTGGCACAGTGTTCTTTTTCAGGGCCACAGTGCATCAGAATGCAAAGACCAATACACGTCCAAACCACACGCTTTCAGTGTGGTGTTTCACAGAGGTAGCAAGATATGGCTGCAGTAGAGGCACTGTTTTAGTTGTTAGTTTACTCTTCATGAATGAAGGCTAACGTGGCCCAAAATTCTCCTAAGGTCCAGTATTTTGCAGACTTATATAACATACATACATGCGTAATGCTGTGGTGTAAGCATGGCACCATGGTTAAGGTGGTGGCACTCTGATCAGAAGGTTGCATATTCACTTTTCAGGGGATTGCTGCCAGTGCACCCTGGTAAGGTCCTCAACCCACAGAGCATTATAAATACACAAAAGCTGAGAAAACAGTAAGCTGTCACCCTGGACAAAGGCCTCTCTCTCTGAGTATGTATTCAGACGGTTGCAATGGATAATATTCTTGGCATTAGACTCCTGGTGTCACGGATGGTCCAAGAGGCACCATCTCAGAGGCCCATCCATGACCTTCTGGCTGCTAACTTCTGCTTCACTTCATGGTGGTACACAGCACAGATGGCCAATGGAAGATGGTAGGGACCTGAACTGTCATACCTCCCTCTCTGTAGTATCTGGTCAAGGATAAATTACAAAATCTGCACCAACACTGAAAGAAATGGATTTGCCTACGAGGCCATTAGAGCCATGTAGGTCAAACAATGAAGAAACTGCAACACAGCAACTATATTTACAAGGACTAATGTACTTCTCTGATCTGTCATAATAGGGAAGATGTCCTGTTTTCCTGTAACACTTTTTAATGTCTGTTTTGCTTTTCAGGGGCTAGTTTTGGTAGAGATTTGGGAACATCACAAAAGTTAACTCAAACAGGCAGTGCAAAAAAAAAAAGAAACACAAAAAATGAATTCACTGCCTCTAAAAGAACGTAACTTGACCTGGATGGTTACCAAATTCACAGGGTTTTTGCTTCTTCACCACAGCAACCACAACAGCCCAACAGCTCACTCTCCGTCCTTTGCCCAAGTGCATTCAGAGAGCTTTTTTTATGCTTTGGCTGGCTGCTACTCTCACAGCTGTATGTGAAAGCCATTTCCTTCCCTTGAAGCATTGGAAGGAAGCATAAGGCCAGGACAGGGTAGCATTTCAGAAATGATGGGGTACAACAGAACCCTTGGGTGTGGGGTACCAGGACTGACTAGCATGGTGACGGTAGGCACACTGCCAGTGGAAGCCATCTTCTTTGCATTGCACTTTGCTACATAGCCTAACTCAATAAACTTTATTGCAAGCAAAAACGTGAGCCTCCAAGGGCCGGAGCTGTAACTCGATGCTTTGCTGCCTTCACTGCTTCTGATTGGCTGTGTGGGAGGCATGGAGTGATGTCATAATGTGAATCGGTTGTGTAAGGCACAACAGTTGACCTTCTTGGTTAAATAAGTTATTATAAACATGAGAGACTGTATGGCATTGTCTGTACCTTCTGAGCATATATACATACGTGTGTGTGTGTGTGTGTCTGTGTGTGTGTGTGTGTGTGTGTGTGTATATATATATATATATGCATGCATTTTATGTTCAAATTTTACTTTATACAACAGTTAGTTCTGACCAAGTAATTTTACTGGACAAGAGGCATTCCATGAGTGCTGATATTCAGTATAACAGCACTGGCACTTTTAACTTTTTTCTATAATTAATTAATCGAAATTAATGGGTTATTTTAACAACCCTAATATATATATATATGAACTGAAGAAGGGACAATTACAGTTAGAGTTTTAGCAAACACTCATATTCCTAAGAAACCTACAGTACAGTGGAGGTAGACATTTTATTAACAAGTGTGTTATAGAGGAATTGAACCCAGAACCTTGGTGTTGCTAGTGCCATGCTCTACCAATTGAGCCACAAAATTGACAAAGGAATCAGAGACTGGATCACAGTAATGATGTCAGAGAGAGAGGACTGTTCATTTCCCTTTTTACTGCCATGTCATTAACAGAATTAACTCACTTTCTATTGCTGGTTTAAAACCATCACTGATGTTGGAGTCAGATGGCTCCTTGGTCTGGTTCCCTCTGCACTTGTATTCACTCTGATAGGATCCATTCCCAGATCTCACTGTGTATCTGTCTCCAGTGTGATCCAGTGGAATCTGCTCTCCGTCTCTGTACCATGTGTAGTTCCACTCAGCAGAGATCCCCTGAATCTCACACCTCAGTGTCAGACTGTCTGTAGTGAAGATCTCTGTCCATCCAGTCTCCAGGATCAGCACAGCCTGAGGACGAGCTGCAACATCCCATATTGCAATTTATAATAAAATGGAACAGTAAAATTATCCAAACTGTTCTAACAAGAAGTTAAACTATTATTTACCCAGCCTTACCAGATATGCTTAACATGAGGCAGTTACCGTAGTAAGACTATAAAGCTCCTTTCACTCTTCTACCTTGACACCAGCACTCTCTACTGTGGGAGAAAGCAGCAGAGCTGATGGTGTAACTGGACCCATCAGTCCTGCTGCTGTCAGTGTTGGGCAGTGCTGCTCCCTGTGTGTCTTTGTACCAGAGATACTCCCAGCCAGCAGGATCTCCCCCAAACCCACAGCTCATGGTGACTCTCTCTCCTGTGTAGATCTCTCCACTGGGGGGGTCCTGGGTAATAACAGGCTTTGGCTTTTCCCCTAATAAAGACAGGATATGGTGAAGGGTTCACTGAAATTAACACATATAAACTGCCTTTATTATGTTGCATAGTTATAGAATGAAAAAAAACAACTCACATGGTTCCCAGGACTCACCAGAAACTTTGATCATAATTGATCCAGGGAGAGACTGGATTGTAGGGTTTTGTAATCTTTCACCCTGACAGATGTATTCCCCACTGTCTGACTCTGTCACAGAGTGGAGGATGTGCTTTTGTTGGGATAGAGACTCTCCAGTCTTCCCTGTTTGTTCCTGGCCCATGAATATCCCCACCCAGACCCTGTTATGATGTCACAGCTGAGGATGACAGTTTCTCCTGGGTACATCAGTGAGTGTGGAGGATCCGTGACCACAACAGCCTGAGGATGAATAGCTGAAATATCCATGGGAAATGAGCCCCTTTTTTCATTGAGCAAAAAAAAATAATTTCTTCACTTAAAGTTAACTTAAAACAGTTTTGAATGAAAATAGCTTACAAGAAACAGTAAGGTTATGGAAGTTGCTGAAAACATGCTGACTTCCTCTCCACCCTTCACACTGATAGAGACCACTGTCTCTGTCTCTCAAAGGGCTCAGGACATATACAGAGCCTCCTTCACCACTGGAGCCTCCAAGACTAGTTATGAACTGCTGTCTGTATCTGGTCCAGGTAAATGTCCAGCCCTTTGATCCAGTAACCTGACAGGTGAGAGTTACTGTCTCTCCTGGGAACATGAGTGACCATGGAGGATCAGCAGTCAGAAGAACCCCAGGACTGGACTGTGCAGCTGCAACAGTTTGAATAAAACAGAGAATCAAATGCATTTTGCATGATATGAAGCCATTAGTGACCTTTGCAGACCCTTACAGTGACCCTTATTTCTTCTAGAGAAGAATATTAGATGCCTTTTGAAGCACGTTCGTTTTATTGAAGTTCAATATTCTCACCTGATTGTTGACTAGAGCAAACCAATGCAACACCTAAACAGAACAAGACAAGAGGGGGATTCCATTCAGAAAGGCACTGGAGTTTTTCTAAAATTGTTTACATTTTTTTTCTTAACCGGCTATGTAATTCCTTTAGTGTCCATTGGTATTCATGTCTTAACTCTAGTTTTGAAAGTCGGCAGACACAACAGTTGAACCCATCTCAAATGCACTACAATTGAGTTTGTTACAAAAAAAAAAAAAAAAAAATCGGGAGAATATGTGACAACATTGCATGTCCTCTTTGCAATTCAGGAGAAAATATTACAGTGATTGTTAATTAAAAATGAAATCTATTTTGATCCCCATATCATTTACTATTACTAATAATGTAAAACAAAATAATATTTTTTATAGCTGTAGGCCTATTTAGTGTCATTGGGGCAATTGCTCTGTCGTTAGCTTAGCTGCGGTTTAGAGTTTAACACGGTTTTAAACGCGCATGTTGCGGAAAAAGTCACGTGGCTTCTTAAACCCCATTGCTGTGTCATCGGTACCTGTGTTTTAAACCTACTGCTGAGGTTTATCTTGATCTCAGTTGCTGTGTCATCAAGAAATCTCATATCAGCCGCTAGAGGTCACTTTTTGTGCATATTTGCTTAAACCTGATACTGAGGTGGTATAAGGAGAGGCTAAACCATATCTCATCTGCAGAATGAGACTTACATCACATCCTACACACAAACTGTAGTAATATTTTGTTAGCCTGATGTCTGCCCCCATGTAGGCCTATGTCGTCACTTACTTTGACTGTGTGAAATAAAAGCTATATAGGCATATCTCTTTATATAGTCCTATAATTAAGGTTTGTGGAGATAACTTTCTACATGTTCTTTGAATAAATGTAGGCTGTTTTTTTTTCTAATCGCAAAGACAGACAACAAAACACACTTAATTCTTAATTCATCACCATGATTTTGCGCCGTGCACCACCGTCAAATTTCAACAAAAAGATATACGTGTGTGTGTGTAGCGGGCTCTGTGTACATAATTCACCATAATCGGTGGTGGTGTATGTTCTACACACACAGTTATATTGTGTGCCTTTCTGTGTTAGGTAGACACGGTCCCTTTAAGAAAAAGTGCTTTTTTGGTAACGGGGCTGTTCGTTGGTTATTGTTTGGGCTTGCTCGGGGTGTGTGCTAAAAATAATTGACACACGTGTTCGTGTAGTCAATGGTAGAAATTGTCTGTCTCTACTTTACTACAATTCCTACATATATATGTATACATATATACAACAAACAATTTAGCGATCAAACACATTTATTTATTTCACAGCCACTCTTATCCAAAACAAATGTCTATGCACGTCCCTGATTAATGATAATCATTCAAACACGATCCAGACCAAAATGCTTATAAATAGGGTTCCAAGAGTTACATTAAAGTCGTAACTTTCGTTCCCTTTCAGATGCTTCAATGACGACAGGATCCAGGAAGGGTTTTATTTATTTATTGCAGGGAAATGAACTTTATTTTTGGCGGATGTGAAGTCAATTGTATAGGAAATATATAAGCCTAATAACAATTACAATATCGTATAATATCTATATCACATGGAGGATCCAACTCGCAAAGAATCCTAAATTATGTCATTAAGTGGCATTCTTGTTAACTCTTTGTTCTGGCAGAGAATATCTGTATAGACGGGCTCTGGTTCAGCGTAGATCTCCAACTTCCTGTTTCCAGACAGTTTACCTGCGAATCAGCTGAAACGGTGCGTGTTATTACGTTCAGCTTAACACTCAGCTGCGCGTTAAACTCGTGATACTTTCGTTTTAAGTAGTACGGTTCTAAAGCACAGCTAAGCTAGCTGACAGACAAATTGCCCCAATATCTCCAATATTGTCAGTACTGCGGGATCTTAGCTGGTTTTGTTTTATGTTTTCCCCGTCCATGTGCTCTTTACTGTTTCTCTGTGTTCCAGCCCTGCCCTGCTCTCCACCCTGTCCCCGCCCACCTGATTACCCGATCGTCTCCACCTGCCTCCCCGTGCACCTGCATCCCATCTCCTCATCTGCCCAGCCCTATATCTTCCCTGCTTGTTTCTTGTCTTGTTGCCAGTTTGTCTCAGTTTATCGGTTTTGCAACCTGCATTCTCTTGTCCTGTTAGTCTGCCTGTCTTTTGATCTTGGCTGTTTACTGACCATGAGTTTTTGGATCTGTTTCTGTACCGTCCGCTGCGCTTTCCTGGTTTTTTGACTTTGCCTGTTTTTGACCCTGCTTTCTGGATTCTCCCTGAGGACTGTGTATCCTCCACCCCTGTCTGCACCTGAGTCCCTGCCTGATTCCAGAAAAATATTTTGTTTATGCAAATAACCTCATGTTTTACAGAAGGAATACAACATTCCAAACAGAGAGCTACCACACATGTATCAAAACTACAATATATAAAAAGTTACACTAAAGGAGAACAGGGGATCATACTAGGGTAAGGGAAATAAGCTACAGAGTGAAGAGGTGGGACTTCAGTCTATGACAGAATATGGCTAGCAATTCCTCTGTTCTGATCACAACAGTAAACTTATTCCACCACATAGGGGCCAAGATGGGCACAACTAGGATGTGCAATCATTTGGGGGGGGGAGGGTTAGCCAAGCATGCTGAAGAGATTGCATACAGTGGCTTGGCTGGTAGGTAGAGTCTAATGTTGGCTTGAAGATAAAGGGAAACTGAACCTTGCATTGCCTGGTAGTCTAATGCCAACATTTTGAAACCAATGTGAGCCATTTCCAAGCTGCCAGTGGAGGGAGATAATGAAGGGTGAAATGTGTGAGAATTTGGGGACATTGTGGACCAATTGAGCACCAGCATTCTGAATGAGCTGCAGGGGTCCCATCGTACATGCAGGGAGGGCAACAAACAAGTAGTTACAGTAGTCTAGATGGGAGAGGACTGTGACTTGGACCAACTGGGTAGTTGGGTAGAGTAGGTGGTGTGGAAGAGGTGGAATTTTTTGATATTGTATAGGGAGAATCTGTATAGGAAGTGTCACCCTGAGGCTCTTGAATGTCCAGGCAGATGATACAGTGGTATCTTCCAGGTTCTGGAAAAGAGAAGACAGTTGGGATCAGTGGGTATACTAATTTGAAATGAATGCATAATCTCCCTCTAAAAAGATGATGCAAAATGTAATGTCATCATTTAAACGACTCTTTGAATTGTCTATCAGTAAAGATATACTGGGCCTGCTGTGTTGTAAAACCACATGCAAAGCAGTGGCACAGAAGCTCATGAGCT